TAAAATTTTACTATTTTGTTTTGTAGCCGGAGTACATCTTGGAGAGAGAGAGAGAGGAGAGAGAAGAAAAGGGTCGATACCTTTTGGACATGTAGCTTTCTCTCTCCTTCCCTCTCTCTCCCCTCTCTCTTCTCTCTCTCCTCTCTCTCTTTTCTCTCTCCCTCTCTTTCTCTCTCTTCATCTCTCTCTTCTCTAACCTCTTTTATGAACTGGCGAGACCTAGTGCCGGTTGGTCTTCTCTTCTCTTATCAGTAGACCCAACGTCAATTGTTTTTCTCTCTTCTCTTCTATCAGTCAGTGAGACCCAGCGTCGGTTAGTGTTCTCTCTTCTCTTCTATCAGTCTACAAGACCCAGCGTCGGTTGGTCTTCACTCTTCTCTTCTATCAGTCGGCGAGACCCAACGCCGGTTGGTCTTCACTCTTCTCTTCTATCAGTTGGTGAGACCCAGTACCAGTTGGTCTTCTTTATTCTCTTTTATCAGTCAGCGAGACCCAGCGTTGGTTGGCTTTCTCTCTCTTCTCCTATCAACTGGTGAGATTTTCACCGGTTGGCTTTCTCTCTCTTCTTCTGTCAGTTGGTGAGACCTAGTGGCAGTTGGTTCTTTTCCTCTTTCTCCCATCTTTTGATACAGTCGGTAATGTCTAGCGTCGATTGCATTTTCTCTTCCTTCTTCTCTTTCATTTTATCTGTTCCCTTCTTCTTTTTAACCCCTACTCTGCTACTCTTTTGTTCGACTTAAAGGAATTGAGGTTAGCCTCCCATGGTAGTCCTGTCGTCTTGTTGTAATGTCATTGTGCTAGGATCACTTGGCCCGCTTTACTTCCACGACAGATCGACCATCATTCCTAGCAAGTCGATATCGATAATAACATCTAGTAGTGATCCTGTGAGTCGGTCTTAGTTATCGAGCCCGTTTTGCTACCATGTTAGGCCAATTATCCATTAGCCTAGTCATTGCTCTGATCCTCTCGCTTAGTTAAATTCTTATCTCCCCCCCGTCTTTCTTTCTTCTACTTGAATGCGCATGCTGGTGTATGTTCATTAGAGAGGAAAAGGGGTGAGATCTGACCCACCTATCCCGTAACCTTTGCCCTATATATTTGTGATTGCAGAAAAGTGGAAAATAAGAAGAATATGAGCCAAAGGAGGTGATTCCAAACCAGTTTTATTACTGAGGAGCTTTCTTCGTGATCTAAGAGGGCGCCCACGCGAGTCAGCCCGAGTAAGTCTCGAACCCACCTTTTAAATTCCTCTCTCACCAATTGGTAACACCTGCCCCCATTTTCGAACGACATTCTCGAGAGAGAGATCTGACAAACATCTCAGGTCTTCCCTGAAACCTGAGACGCATGCCGCCCGATCCTCCAGGATCCGGAGGGCAAGATCGAGGCACCTAACCAACGATGCATCAATTTTTAGGAGAGTTTGTGTCTAAACCATGCTGGTAGACAGCCGGAGGGCTTCGTAACTGTTCTAAGAGGGTAACTGCTCGGCCATATCCTTGAACCCGTAAACGATGAGGTAAGCATCTAAATATACCTTTGTCAAAAAATCTCTCTCATTGTTGGCTCCTATCCTCATAAAGAAGAGTGCACACGTACGTTTAAAACACGTCCCACCTGTGCACCCCTCGTGGTTATTTGAGAAAGGGTTTTCTCTCACCAAGAAAACCAAGCCCCGACGAGAGAGATTTCATGACAAGGCCTTTAATGATGAACGACCTTCATGAGCCAAAAGGGGAGAATGAAGTCCCCGAAGGAACCTGCAACGTGACATGGATGGTGGAAGTCAAATCAGAACCTTTGGTCATGCAACTAGCTTTGAGATCTAGAAGAAGGACCACTAAGATAAAACCACCTAGAGATACCACGCCGAAGAAGGTTATGCTTGCCACAAAAATACAAACAGAAACTTCCAATGCTACTGGGCATGTAAAACCGTCCACAGATAGGAATATTAATGACTATAATGTAACATCCCACTTGAGAAGAATAACAACTGCCATAAGAGTCTATGACACTCTTATATTGTTCAAGGAGCTTCGGCAGCCCTAATATAGGCCCTATTGTCTCCATAAAAGTTCCAAACTGAAGTCGATCAAATAAAACTTGACTCAACAGTTTTGGCTGATGTTATGCCGGTCACTTTCTCAAATGCAGACTTACAGTTGGGAGAAAAACATCACAACCGCCCTTTAATGGTAGCCGGAGTTCTACATGGCACCTGCTTGATCGAATAATGATAAACATATGATCAGCTATAAATCCACTCCCTCTAAGGATGCTGAAGACCATAGGGATGAATATCAGGCCACTCAACAAGCCATTGGAAGCATCAGGTTGAAGCTAAGAACTGGGAAACTAGAGATTTACACCACATTCCAAGACATAGAAACTGAAGCGTCATATAACATTATGTTAAGATGCCCTTGGTTGCATGACAATGGCATCATCCCCTCCACTCTGCACCAGTGCTTCAAATACTTCCACGAGAGTAAACAACATATGGTTTATGCTAACCGAAGTCCATTCACCAAGGTAGAGTCTCATTTCGCAATCAATAAATTCTATAACCTCGAAAACCTGGATCCCTATTATATGGAGATGTCGGAAAATAAGAGTGATTTCGACGATGATCATGGAATCGAAGAGGCACTAATAAGGGTTTTAAAAGGTTTGGCTATTGAAGCTAGCACATGACCTCTCACTTCGGTGATACCAGTCAAGGTAGAGTAGGACATGTCGCGCCAATTTGATGATAGTCAGATCAGCCCTTCATTGAAAGCGAAGTTAAAAAACGGAGCACCAAAAAGAACATAGAGCCCTCCCCTTGAAGAACAGAAACTCCAAGCCACAATAGAAGCTATATAACCCTCAGGCTCATCAGATCATGAGGAACATGGATTATGACCTGACCACCAATCAAGGCTTAAATAATAGAAGAGGAATAGTGTCTCCTTTTCAATCCATCGAGAATATGTCTTGTGTGGAGGCCTAATACTCAAGGACTTAGTAAACTATAGCCCTTGAACTCACCTCGAAGAGCATGCATAAAGGGAGGTGGACAGTTCAGTTTGCTATGGCATCCACGAGCAACCACAGTAGCATTGATTTCGATAATGATGACGAGGTAGAACCTGCCTCCTAACAATTGGAAGATGGAGGGAAAGCCACTGTTGACGATCTGATCGAGATCGATATGGGTGAAGAAGACGATCACATACCCACCTTCCTGAGTCATCTTTAAACCCAAAAGAAAAGGAGCAGTACATAGACTTTCTTTGCCTTAACCTTGATATGTTTGCATGGAATTACCATGAGATGCCCGGTTTGGACCCCACAACAGCTACTCATAAGCTTGTTGTTGACCTTAAAATCAAGCCCGCAAAACAACCTCAAAGAAAATTCCACCCCGATATAGCTTCTCAAATTGAAGCCTAACAAAGGGCGAGTTCATTAGGGAGGTGATATATCCCTAGCTAATGTGGTACCAATTAAGAAAAAGAATGGACAGATAAGGGTTTGCATAGATTTCTGCAATCATAATGCTGTCTGCCCCAAAGATGATTTTCCTCTACCCCTCACGGAAATCATGATTGATTCCATAGTAGCCTGCGAGGCATTCTCATTCATGGATGGCTATTCTGGTTATAACTAGATCCAAATGGCTTAGGAAGTTGAAGAATTGACTGCATTAAGAACCACGAAGAAACTTTACTGTTATAAAGTCATGTTGTTTGGTCTAAAAAACACGGGTGCCAGCTACTAACGCACTATGACTGTCATATTCGAAGATATTTTACATGATGTCATAGAGTGTTATGTTGATGACTTGGTGGTCAAGGCAAAGGACTAGTCTGCTCATCTCACTGATTTGGAAACCGTGTTCAAGAGACTAAGAAAGCACCAATTGAAGATGAATCTCTTAAAATGTGCGTTTGGGGTGAGGTTTGAAAAATTTCTGGGCTTCATCGTTAGGCACAAGGGGATTGAGATAGATCCCGCAACGATACAGGCTATACAGGAGATGTCATCACCAAGAAACTTGCGAGAGTTAAAATCTCTCCAAGGTCGCTTGACATACATACGAAGGTTTATTGCTAATCTCTCATGGCGATGTAAACCTTTCTCTCGGCACCTGAAGAAAGATGTCCCACTTGTGTGGGATGAGTCATGTCAAAGGACCTTCCAAGATATCAAAGACTATCTTTTGAACCCACCAGTCTTGATAACTCCTATACCAGATAAGCCACTCATTTTATATGCAACGGTTCTTGAGGGATCTTTGGGTGCTCTTCTCGCCTAGCATAATGACGAGGGGAAGCAAGTGGCATTATATTACCTCAGCCGTATAATTATATCTGCCAAATATAACTATACTCCCATCGATAAGATGTGCTTAGCATTGGTATTCGCTGTCCAAAAGTTGCAACATTATCTTCTGACACATTCGGTGCAACTGATATCCTATGCCGAACCGATCAAGTATCTCATGAGTCGGCCCATCCTATCAGGATGCTTGGCTAAGTGGGCCCTACTCCTTATAGAGTTTGACATCATGAATGTTCCACAAAAGGCTATCAAGGGGCAAGCCCTAGCCGACTTCTTGGTTGCTCATCCTTTACCTAAAGGTTCACCTTTGAATGAGGATCTACTTGATGACAAGTTCATGTTGGCAAATGAACCAGCCCAATGGCAAATGTTCTTCGACGGAGCTTTCCAAGCGTCAGGACCTGGCGCGAGCACATTGTTTGTGACACTCGTTAAAGGATTTTTGTCGTATGTCTTCTCCTTGAACGAGAAATATTCGAACAATGAAGCTGAGAATAAAGCGTTAATTATTGGCTTAGATGTGACACTAGAGTTGAACCTTGGACACCTCAATATCTTCGGCAATTCTCAGTTAATCATTCGACAACTAAAAGGGATATACAAGATTCACAATGATGAACTCAAGCCGTACAATAGTACAACAAGATACCTCCTCGGGAAAATGAATGAAGTCACCTTGACTCACATACCCCATGAATTGAACATCCAGGCTGACGCATTGGCTACACTAGGGGCCACTATGTTCGTCTAACCTACGGTCCCGCTTCATGTTCTTGTGCAAGAATGGCGAGCTATCTCCATGGAGGAAAGAGCTGATTTCAGGGATGAAGATTTATTATGGCCAGAATTTCCCCCATACCCTGAAGGGGCTATGGGAAAGTTGATAGAAGAACCCACCATCAATGGTGTTGTGGCCGCCATGGAAGCCGCCTGACCGGATTGGCAACAACCCTTTTTAGAGTATTTAGTACACGACCAACTCCTGCAAACTAAAGAAGATACATTGGCCCTTAAGAGGCGGGCTACAAGGTTGCTAAATGACCAACTTTATCGAAGGTCGTATGATTGGATGCTATTAAGGTGTCTTTTACATAAGGAAGGTCAAGTAGCTTTGAAGGAGGTGCATGATAGGGTGTGCGGTATGCACTAATCCACACCAAAGTTGTATCACCAGCTTCACTGAATGGGATATTTTTAGCCCACTATGCCAAGGATACATTAAAGTATGCAAAAGGATTTCATGTGTGTAGGTACATGCACATTACATCCATCAGGCACCAGAACCATACACCCGACCCTTATGATGTAGCCATTCTCTCAATGGGGGATGGACATAGTGGGACCCATTACCCCAGCATCAGCTGGGCCCCCCTCTTATTTTCTCTCTCTCCCCTCTTGGGCTGGTGGCCATTGGCCCGCTCTCTTCTTCCCCTCTCACTCTCATCATCTCTCTCATCCCCTTCTCTCACCCTCATTTTGGGTCGATGGCTCAATCGCTGACCCACTTCCCATATTCCCTTGTCTTACTCTCTCTCCATCCTTCTCATCTCTCTTCATCTCTCGCAACCATTTCATCCACTCACCTTATTTCCCCTATATCACACCGTCCACCAAATCATCTCATCCCCACTCCATCACCCTTGACACTTGGCCCACATCAGATTCGAAAACCACAAAGGTGTCGATGCACTGATCATACACTACTACCCAGTTGAGTCACGCCATTCACAACTCTTACGAGTCTACCACTTCCCTGATGAGTTGCATTCGTCACAATCCCTAATGAGTCCCTATCTCAACCACTGCACAAAACATATATATATATATATATATATATATATATATGTAAGAAAAATATAAAAAAAAGAATATAGGCGAAATACTTTGGTGTTTTACCACTGCCACAGACTTTCCATGTTTGTGACGATTTATTGAACGGACCCGCAATAGACGGTGTGCCGTCCATCCATTGCGGTTCCACATGATTTTTTTGACCGCCACAGACTAGTATGTCTGTGTTAGGTCAGTGGCAGTCGAAAAACACATGGCACTTGGTTTTTTCAAACGGTGATGAGCATATGAGCCAAAATACTGCTAATTTTTTCCCATAGGTGCAATGCTTATATATATATATATATATATATATATATATATATATATATATATTAAATAAGAGAGAAAAATTTAGGGATCTAAACCGTATTAAATGCATTAAAAGTGATGATTACATGGTCTTGGTGAACAATGGCGAGGTCAACGAAAGATGGAGAGTTTGTTTCAAAAAAGTATTAAGTGACGAACACAATGGGAACATAGCGGTAGAAGGAACAGGTAGTACAAATGAGGGCGAAGGTCATAAATACATTTGTAGGATTAGTAAGTCAGAAGTGAAAGAAGCTTTGAAAAGGATGAAGATAGAAAAGGATTTAGGACTAGATGGTATGCTGATAGAGGTTTGGAAGTCAATGCGGGATATTGACTGGCTGACGAAGCTATTAAACAAGGTGTTGAAACAAAAAAATTGCCAGACAAATGGAGGAAAGGTATTGTGGTACCTACTTACAAGAACAAATGAGGCATACAAAAGTATATGAAGTATGAAGGGATCAAGCTTGTGAGTCATACAATGAAACTTTGGGAGAGAGTGATTGAGCAACGACTAAAGCATGAAACTAGTGTTAAACATGGTGTTATACCAAGGAGGTCAACAATTGAGGCTATTTTTCTACTTAGGCGACTGATTGAGATGTTTAGGGTGAAGGAAAAAGATCTCCACATGGTCTTTATTGATCTAAAGAAAACTTATGATAGAGTACCTCGATATTTGATTTGGAAAATATTGGAAAAGAGAGGAGTTTCCAAACACTACATCGACTTGGTGAGAGATATGTACGATGGAGCGCTAATTAGTGTACAAACAACTTGTGGAGAGATGAGTGAGTTTTCAGTGAAAATAAATCTGCATCAAGGGTCAATATTGAGCTCGTACCTCTTTATCTTAGCTATAGACGACTTAATTAGACACCTACAGGATGAGGTACCATGGTGCATGTTATTTTCAAATGACATAGTTTAGATCGATGAGATCCGAATCGGCATCAATACAAAGTTAAAAATTTGTAGGGATGTAGAATCCAAAGGTTTTAAAATTTGTCAGACTAAGACAAAGTATATAGACTGCAAGTTTAACAATAATAGGAGTAGAAACGAGGAAGTCATTAAGATTTACTGCCATGAAGTACAAAAAAGACTGCACTTTTGATATCTTGGGTCAATAATCTAGGAAAATTGAGAAATTGAGGAGGATATCGTATGAGGACCTTAAATTGGTTTTTTTTTACTGAAACTAAATAATAATAATAATAATAATAATAATAATAATAATAATAATAATAATAATAATAATAATAATAATAATAATAATAATAGTAATAATAATAATAATAATAATAATAATAATAATAATAATAATAATAATAATAATAATAATAATAATAATATAAAAAATAAAACAAAATACTTACACAAAGAAAGGATTTTGAGTGATGGTTCATTGTGTTGTTAATACACCACAGGAACCATTCTTTGCATTTTTTTCCTAATATATTTGGAAAGAAGTCTTGTTATTTTGGAATAGATGGGGGAATGTTAGCCTTTTTGCTAAATAAAATGTTTCAAAACAATTTTTATTCTTAAAATTTGGTGCTAGTCTATTTCTATAGTATAAACCTCAAGGTCAACACTTTATTTTCACTACGTTTTACTTTAAAAGTAGTGTTTACTACTATACGATGGCAGCCAAACAACCACCTGTATATGACGTGTTACAATTTTTTTTTTTTAAACGTCTCTCTCTTTATTATTATAAAAGGGGAAAGTTTATAGAGGGTTGTAACCTTAAAGTGTAAAATCACAAATATACCGCAAAAATTTATTGAAAATGTTGTTTTAATGATGGAAAAGCACTCTAACCGGTCATCTCGACAAGGAGTTGTATGAATATGAAAGAAAAATTTTGAGTCCCAAACATAGTACATCTTGTAACTCATTATCTAGACCGTCCATTTTCAAGATTTTCATATATTTATAGGTCCACTCAATTTTAACTATTTTTGAAATTTAAAATTTTCAATTTAAAATTTTCTAATTAGGTATGGAAATAGATTTTAAGATAATACTAAAAACTTTTTACAACAAAATTGATAAAATTTTAACGTGCACCTTAATTGGATTGTTTAAGGTTATAGAAACGTACCCTTATTAAAAAGGGGTGCTCTCTTTATTCTCTCACTGATAAGCAAGAACTCCATGTAGATAACAGGAACCTGAGCATTTTTTTTCTTACAGTGATTCCTCCTTCTCTCTTTTTAAATGGGTGCTCTCTCTCTCTCAACAAAGCGTTCTCTCGCGCGCTCTTCTCACGCGCTCTCTCTGATAAAAAGTCTCTCCAGCTCAACCTCTACCTCTGTATCTCTTTAAATTGTGGGACTTTGGAAGAGTAATTTTGCGAAGTTTTTGATTAAGTCCACTATTATCATTTTGGATTTGTTGTGGCTGGGTTACAAAGTGGAAGGTTTTGTGGTATTTGGGTTTTGACATTGTTTAATCTAGAGAATGCTTGAGTTGCTCTTTCACTGTTTTCGGGTTTGGTTCATATGCTTGTGCCATGTAAGTGACCTCATTCCATTGAAAAAATAGTCCTTTTTTAATAAAATTATTATTTATGTTTATTGTTAGGAATTTTAGACACTGTAAAATTATTAAAAATAAAATTATTATTTCTGTCTATTGTTGGGAATTTTAGACATGGTAAATTATTAGAAATAAAATTGATTATTTCTATCCATTATTATGAATTTTGATACTGTAAGTTTTATGTGTAAGTGACTTCATTTTTCCTGAAAAATCATTATTTGAAAAAAACTAATATTGCTATAATATTTCGAGATATTTCTGCATTTAATTGTAATATTTGCAGCATAAATCTTAGATATTGTAACTGTTATATGCAAGTATTATATGCAACTATTATGTCTAAGTATTATGTGCAAGTGGTATGTGCAACTGTTCTGTGTAAGTATTGTGTGCAAGTTTTATGTGCAAGTGTTCTGTGTAAGTATTGTGCGCAAGTTTTATGTGCAAGTGATTGTTACAAATTGCTTCAAGAGAATTTATGTTAATAATCTCAAGGATATTTTGATAATACGATATTATTGTTTTCTGATATCTACTACATTGATATGTGGCTTGTATTTGACACAATAATATCTTTTGAATTTATGTGCATGGTGATAAAATATATATGCATGACAACATGCTTCTGATAAGATTTGTATGCATGACAATATGTTTCTGATAAGAAATGTGTGCATAGTAATATGCTTTTGATACAATATGTGTGCATGGAAACATGCTTCTGATAAGATATGTGTGCATGTCAACATGCTGCGGATGAGATCCTGTGTGATATGTGCGGATGGGCACATACTGTGTGAATGCTGGTGCCAACAGCTGAGATCTTTCCCTGGCTCTCTATGATAGGATGAGAGTTAGGATGTGAGTGTTTGGGACGGTCGTGCCCCTCAAAATTCTATGTGAGGCACTATCCATTGGGACCTCTTTGGTACTGAATGGCCTCTAGCCAGAAGGGCAAGGAGAGGGCCACGTCTTGCAAGGCCTCTGCTTATCAAAAGCCCCAAAGCGCAATGGAGACTGTGTGCGTGTGTGAGGTACTACGCAACGGATTTACCCGTTGGTGTTGCTTCTTCCTGTGGGATAGTAGAAGTTCTAACCTTGGACCGAGGCCTGGGACCTGAGGTTAGTGCTTCTACTGTAGGACTTCTGTTGTTGTGAATGCTTACTGTAAGACTTTTGTTGTTAAAATATTCACTACAGAATTTCTGTTGTTGTGAATGCTTACTGCAGGAATTCTGTTGTTAAAAATGCTCAGTGTAGGATTTATGTTATTGTGAATGTTTACTGCAGGACTTCTGTTATCGTGAATGTTTACTGTAGGACTTATGTTGTTGTGAATGCTTACTGCAGGACTTTTGTTGTTGTAAATGCTTGATTGCAGGATTTCTGTTGTTGTGAATGCTTGATCGCAAGACTTCTATTGTTGTGAATGCTTGATCGCAGGACTTCTGTTGTTGTGAATGCTTACTGTAGGATTTCTGTGGTTGTGAGTGCTTGTTTGATTATATATGATACTTAATGTTGATCTTAATATGAATCGTGTGCATATGGTTTATAGATCATGCTTATTTGCTTTGTCTAATATGAAATACATGATATGTGTAAGATCAGAAATGAATCTGTCTAATAGCATATATTAGAATGTATGAAATCAATACGTCGAAATTTTACTTAATATGCATTCTTTAGAAAATATCTACATTTGTCAATTATGATTATTTTTTTTCAAGGTTAATGATGGTCATTTACTGAGTAGCCAAACTCATAAAACTGTGGTAAATTTTTTTTCAGAATAATTGTAGTGGGAGGAGTTTGGAAGAAGTTTGTAGTTATGAATACATTCTCCTATGTAATTTTTGTCTATAAAAGTTGTATATATATATGGACCTCAGGTTATTATTACAAACTGTGAAATATACTTTGTACAAAAAGCTTTTGAATGAAAAAATTGTTTTGGAGCAATATATAGTAAAATTTTTGAATTTGTTTTGTTCTATATCAATAAACTGTCACATCTTAAGAATTTTAGTGTTATAAAACTTGGGGTGTGACATATCGCACACAGAATTAGAGCTGGATGGGTGAAGTGGAGATGTGTAAGCTGGAATTTTCTGTGCCGAATACCAATGAAAATGAAGGGCAAGCTTTATAGGAGAACTATGAGACCAACTTTGTTATATGGGGCTGAATATTGAGCATTCAAAAAACAATATACCCATAGAATGAGTATAGCGGAGATGAAGATGTTGAGATGGATGACTGGCAAGACAATAAGGGATAGACTTCGAAATGAATCCATTCAAGAGAATCTAGGTGTATCATCAATAAATGATAATATGATATAGAGCCGACTTAGATGGACTAGCCATGTGTGGCATTGATCAAGTACAATATTGTCTGGAGGTGCGAGTTAGTTCAAGAGGAAAGAGTTAGTTCAATTTTTTTTCAGAATAATTGAAGTAGTTCAAAAAGATATGGGGTCTTATTGCCTCACTAAGGGTATGACCTTTAATAGAGTAGAATGATGGACCAGGATTTGTATATCCGACCCCAATTAATTGGGAAAAGGCTAT